CCCCCCCCCCCTTTTCTCCTAGTCGGAGTCCAAGTATGTGTGCACGAGATGCATGCCTCTCACCTGCTGCTTCTGCACGAAAAATTGTCTGTCCTACTTCGTCGTCGACACGTTCGCGTGACGGTCCAGGTGCCCCTTTCCATTCGGCCCGGCACCTTCAAGCTCCCGCAGTCGCCCAGCCACCCGGTTATCATGGTTGGCCCCGGCACTGGCGTCGCGCCCATGCGCAGCGTCGTCTTGGAACGGCGGCGGCAGAGGCAGCAGGGGTCGGGGGGGGCGGGGGTGGGTAGGAATGGTAACGGAAGCCTGTCGCCGTCGCCTGAGCGGGTTGGAACAGGCGCGATTGGGGCTTCACCGGATACGCTGTTTTTCGGGTGCAGGTGGGTGGAGAAAGAGAAAGACAGAGAGAGAGTCGATGACTAACCCTACTGATTCTGCGATGATATTGACAGGCGATTTAGTGGATGGACGACTCCAGTACAACGACGCTGGCGGACGTACCGACGAGAATGAGCTTACACGAGCGTCCAGCATGATATGCGTGTGGTGCAGGCGGATGTGTTTTTCGCTTGGGTACCGGTACCTGGCATATGGTAGGTTGCATTCCCAGTTTTACTCCGACGCATTTGCCTTGGCTGAGGAGGGTCGAGGAACTGCCGTGCATCTAGCAAAGGCAGTATTCGGGGAGCTTACCGAATGTTGCGCAAGATACCGCTCCCCTGCATCCATTTTCAAGGCTCGATTCCTGCACGTCGAATCAGGTGCCAGACTCAAAGAACACAATGTCGGAAAGCTCTCGACGAGACAGTTCCAACGCCACCATTTGGCTCATCCTTGTTGGTGTTACTGCAGGTTAGTCGAGCCGTAAATATCGGTGCAACGGGTACCGCATCATACGCATCCGCGTATGCAACCGACGGTAGGCACTTTTCCCGCCTGACGAGCTCTCAGTCCGACGCTGCCAATGCCAAACACACGCTTCTGTTGGACTCCCGCCCGGCCCGCTATCGTGTCCAGTCCTCCGGTGTAAGGCTGCAGCACGAACACAGTAGCCGCGACGACCGAGTCTACAAACCATCTCACGTCGGCAAGCACGTCCCCTGTACTATACGCATGTACACGAATCACCCTTGACCCCTTTTCCCCGCTTCTCCCCAGATTTCGAGATAAAGACTTTTTCTACGAACAGGACTGGGGGGTTCTTGCTGCCTCCGGCAATCTTTCCCTTTTCACCGCGTTCTCCCGGTCTAACCCGGACGGTACTGGGAGCCGGGTGTATGTGCAGCGTCGGATACGCGAGCAGGTGTGTTGGGCGCCTCATGCGATAGCGTGCTGTTGCTGAGGTTGCGGATCAGGGTCGGCGTGCTACTGTTACTGCTTACTGTTGGCGGCGGCGTCGTTCTCGCTTTTTCTCTCGTATCCGTTGTTGTTGTTGCTGCTGCTGCCATGGCGCTTGTCGTCGTGGCTGCCGTCGTTCTCGTCGTCGTCGTCGTCGTGTCCGTTGTTAGTGTTCTTGCTGCTGCTCTCGTCGTTGTCGTTGCCGTTGTTAATCTGGTTGCGTGCGTCCACATGTTGCTGCCGCCGTTATTACCGTCGGCCGTTACCTTCGCGAGCGACGGCTTGGGGGGTGGCGCCGTGTCTTGTGTTGACACTTGAGTAGTACGGGCTCCGGTGCCCACCATTGTGACGATACCCGCGTCAAAGGCCTATGCCATTCCGGTTAATGTGACTGGAGCGGCACGACGGAGTGTCCACCGCCATATCAACAATGCGATACCCGATGTCACCTGTGGACCTAACCATCGCGCTCCCACACACAGCCCTTGTGCCGCCTCTTTGTCCTGTTTGCTCCGTTACTCCCATGCCCTGGTGCGTAGTGCCTGGTGCTGGTACGTTACCCTTTGATTTTTTCTTAAGGCGGGGGTGGGAAGCGTACTACTTTATTTTTGTTTTTGTTTTATTTTGATCGGTTTCCGAGGGCTCTTTTCTCGAACGGTCGGTGCGGTACCTATTTTTTCTTTTTGACCATTTTGTTTTCTTTTTCCGAGTGGTTTGTACCCTATCTTTGTTTTGTTTCCCCGCGGCGTCGTATGTGCCGGGTTTTGAGACCACGGGCTCCCCATTTTTCGTGGACTATAGAGCTAACGTGAGAAACAACGACAGCAACAAACACACTCGTTTACACACGCACACACACTGCAGGCGTCCTTGATAGCCGGTTTGGTGGTGGATTGTGGTGCGAACATCCTGGTCTCTGGCTCGGCGAAGCAAATGCCTCGAGACGTCCGAGAGGCATTTCGAGACGTCCTAGCAGAGCACGAGAAGGCGAGTTGGTGCCGTTGAGTACAAGGGTTTACTCGGTAGATTTTATGACAAATGCCTTCAATTGTGGATTTGTTTTGTCTTGAATGGGTGTATACTTAAGGGTGGGTGTTTATCGCATTTCGAGCATACGACAAGACGTCCTCCAAACCCCGAGTCTTGCACTTCGTGCTTCTTAGCTGTTGCTCGTGTGACTTGCATGATGCTTCGGTTTACGATGTTGCTATGATCGCTACTCATTGACCCTGTCATTGTTTTAGTACAATTCCACCAGATAATACCGCCATGTTGCGTTTCGCCTAAACATCCATGCCAGTGCCCAATCTTCACAACACTCGGCGGTTTTGGGCCGAGACTCGCGTCTCCACGAACACTGTGTTTTTTTTCGTTTCTTCCGTTTCGTCGACCCTGTGCCGTACGGCACCCTCTGCAGGTGGGAGGCGAGGCCGGCGCAGACGCTCTACTCAAGGCGATGGACAGACAGGGACGTTACTGCGTGGAGGTCTGGTCCTGATTGGCACGCATCCTTTCAACCACTGGGAGACGGCGAGGGCGAGGGACGAGTTGGGCGACGCATGTTGATACCCCTTCCAACCTGGACAAGAGTGTGCCGGGTTGTCGCAGACCATGAACTGCCTCCCATCGCCTGTTCATGCCGCAAATGCAAGCATGTATTCGGGGGCTGACACGCTCGCCAGGGCAGTGGAAAACAGGGATGCTACTGAGCACAAGCCTGGACCTGATTGGAAGCTCATGCTCTATCAGGGTTAAAACAACAGGGAGGCCGCCCAGCGGGCGGGTACATATATTGAAGTCCCTTCGGAGGGGTGGTCTTGTGTGTTGATGATATCACCAAGGTAGCGCTCCCGACGCCACCGCAAGCACACGCATAGCGTATTACGTGGTGTGACATAGCCCCCTGGCAGTGTTCCTTTCGTTGCGGGGTGTGGTTCGGCGGAGAACAGGGAGCAACCGGACGCCACACTCCAAAAGAAGAATGTATTTAACTACCGGAACACTTGTCAACCGCGTCCTAAACCGAGAGACATAGAGGGGCAACGGTTGACCCTTCCAAAAAATCTCTCTCGCATACAGAGCCGTTCGTTTCAAAAACCTAGCTCCGCCGTGAGCAAGGCACATAGTGAAGGGCCGCACCGCGTAATTGGACGCGTGCAGGAAACGGTCAAAATTCGCTTACGTCACAACCATAACGATCCACGACATCCCGACAAAACTGCAAGCAGAGTCATCCTCCGCTTATCGCGATGTTCACCGAAGAGCGAAAAATCGTGTACCGGAGCCTCCCAAGCCGGCGCGTTCCGATGTCCCATCGTACGCGCGAAATTAAAAAACGGGCTGCTCCCGAAAAACGTGCAAGACGTAAACGGCCATCGCCAATGCAGGTATTGCAAACCTGAACATATCGGCCGACTGCTGTACGATACACTAGGGGCTGCTGGGGTTTCGCCCTTCCTATGGACTTGTCTACGAGAGAAGTTGCCATCGCACAAAAGGACCAACATTGGACTGGCCTACGTCGATGGCCGTTTGACACTTCGTCACCAGTACACGTGCCATATTAGCCGCCTTGCAGCAGTGCGAAAAAACATGACGCGATGCAAATAAGGAGGCAAGAACCACGGCAATAACCAGCAACAGACAGAAATGCCAGAAGTACACACCTACAAGAACACGGGAATTACACATGCGTTGTTAGTACACTTAATCGACGTCATAAGTGAAGGGATTGCTGTACCCTTCTCGTGATAAAAATATCTCAGGCAGGAACCGCGGGAGGGCGTCCAACCCCCCCTCCCCGGTTGGGTCGTCCAGCTGGTAGAAGTGGAGGATAGGGGCTAGAGGGGCAGACGACAGAATCCAAATGATGGGAGACAAACGAAAAAAAAAACATGCGACCCAAATTCAACAACAATCACCAACCACTTCCGGATGCATCCAACAACAAATACCCCGCCGTCAACATAGTTTAATCGTCAAACGGAAAGCGCGCCTGTGGCAACACTCTGCCCCATGTTGGTTACCCCTGCAGAGTGGCGTGCCATTCTTCATGAACAGAGAAGACGCATTCTTCACTGACAGAGAAGACCAGAACAGGTCTAATGAAGGAAAAAGAGATCCAAAAATAGTACTTCGTAAGCAAATACGGCCAAACAAATAAGCTGGATACCTAGCAGATACGGCCAAAAAATAACGTGCTAGTGCACTTGCCGCCGCCGCAAAAGCATCGCTGAATAACAGCAGAGCCCGGCATCAAAACTTGATGTCTGCCGCAACACCTTCGCTGGCGGGGATAAAATACAGCGGGATTCGTGCCTCGTCATCGATGCCATTCCCGACTCGATGACGACCGAAAACAAACACAAAAACATGTCGAGAGCCGTCCGCAAAGGTGTATTTCAACCTCGAACTCATACTATTGCTAATAACGTGGGCCCTTCGGAAATTCGCCCGCCCCCGGGAAGATGGCGGTGACGCACAACGGTGGTGCGCCAAGAATTCTGTCAAGGCATCTTCTCTAACTGGTGCTCTCTTCCATGAAGCCAATGAAGCGCTCGCAGTAGAGCACCGGGTCCACGCAGCTGAGCTCGTTCTTAGCCTTGCCGATCGCCTTGTACCACGTCTCCGCGTGCTTCATGTTGGTGTACACCTGGCGTGGGAAGGGTTCGTGTGTGGAGTGTTAATTGGCTGCTCGCCACGGTCCGCATTCGACTCATGACCACGCATCTCTTTCGAGACCAAGCACCGTGCCTACTCCGTCGCCTTCCAGCGGAAGAAGAGTGCTGGGTACCTCTCCGTCTTGTTGATTTGTCACATTAATCTCTTGCTTGTCTTATCCCCACCACTATACCTTCGAATCATGTTGTGTCAGGTCCGTCCCCTCGTTGATGCGTGTGGGGAGGCCGGGACCATGCACTACTCATGGCTTGCTGATTTCACAGGAGTTCCATGGGGAACCTCAGTAAAAGACTGAAAATCCTGCAAGACTGATCCGCCTATTTATCATTGAAAAACGTGTCCAACGCGAAGATGGCATGACGTCTTCCAAGAAACTGAACAGAGAGCAGCGCAGTTGCGCTTATTTCGTGGCACTTGTTCTCCATTTATGAATACACCTCTGTGATGCAATTCCGTTCGACCCTGAAATGTCGAATCGTTTCTGGCCTCTCGTTCTCTCGTGCTGAAGCCCACGATTGGACCACACAAGTCGCGCGGCGTCTTTTAGACTTGTGGCGATTGACGCGCTGGTGTGCCGGGGTGAAGCCGGCCCCGGAGTGGTTTCGGCCTCGGCGCCCCCCGGCGATGAACAAACGCAGTGTCTACCGCCCTCATGTATAACTCCGCTTGGGTGCGATGTCGATGCCCTACTTAGATCCTGACAAAACGCAGAACATGTCCAGGACAAGCCCCCCTCCCAAGAAAAACAACCCCTGCGTCTACCTTGTTCCAGTGTAACCCTGGCTGGTGGATGAAGCACATGCATGCTGAATGTGTAGACTGGCGCAAAAGGAATGGAAAGGAAGGGAAGCGGGTTACCCTGCTCTTGGTCTGCCTCGGCTGGTGGGCCAATAGTATACATACGCCGGGAGCGGGCTCATGAGAGCACAGTATTGTCAACGGGTGGTGCAGGATGAAAATAAAAGGCAGGCAAGAAACAGCCCAAACCTGGCTGCCCGCCGCCATTTGCGACGTTTCTTGAAGCCGGATAGATCACGGCTGAAGTTCTTAGACTCAAATGGTCGAGCGAATCCCAATGAACCCAAAGAAATTAAAAATCTGTGTTCAGTCGTACTGGCGCCCATAGTTGGCCGGACGAAACAAAAAAGAAGGTTATGAAAAGGAGACAACATTGGTTCTCCCCACAGAAACCAAACAAGACAAAGGGCCACCCAAATACAGTTCACGCGCTGTACAAACTCAAGCAAACTCAAGCAAAGGGTGTGTCGTGAGGTTGGGAACAATTACCCGTGACACGTGGTTGGCTCTCCAGGCCAAGAGAAAACAGACAAGTTTTTTGTTTGAGCTCCGTGTACCTGTGTCGGTCTGGATTATGTTTTCGCCCCGAGTCTGTATCCGGTTGAGGCAGGTGTTTTGATCTAGAAAAGTCCAAGACGGCTTCCGAGCTTCCAACACAAAACAACACTTAAAAATAATCAAAGGCGAAGGGATTCCCCGCCCGGTGCCTCACTTATCGTAGTGCTCAACCGTTTCCGTTTAAGTCAACTCAGTAATACAGTCAAAAGCCGCGGGGCGGGCTGGGCAGCGTGCAACTTGATTTGCGCCACCGTCCTTGGACAGTGCCGATGCAATCGCTCGGCAAACAACAATTGATCAAGGCAAAACCGCGCTATTCGATACGGCCACTGGTGTTTGCATACTGATGATACCCGCTGTAGAGCCGGTGCATGTCTGAATGCGTTAAGGGCATCCTCCGGTGAAAACATTTTGGTTTCTAATAAAAGAACTGCGTTGGTTGTAAATAAATTGTGCGGGGATGTGGTATCTTCGGTCATCCTATTGCTTCCATTGAGAGTAGTGATACGTTTGGATTCACGTGACCCGTAGAAAATAGTGTCACCGGGCGTATTGGGGGGGGTCGTTGTCTTACGTGGGCGTGTAACGTTGTGTCCTACGCGGGATATCATCAACACGGGAGGTACTGGGATGGCGTCACCAGGGGACCACGCAACCGTCTGGTGCCCCCGAACCATATTATTCAGCCGCGAAACAAATAAATACGTGATCACAGATGCCCGCCATACTGATGGTATCCACTTTAGTGCTGGTCGGAAAGACTGCCAAACACACCCGGCTCTCTCGAAAAATGTGGGAACCGCCTTGGACACCGCTTTTCATGGCTGCAGAATGTTGTAAGAAAAAATAATTTTTTGCAACTTTTCTTGCAACTTTCCTACTGCTGTACGCTTAGCGTGGGAGCAAAACGTTGCGCAAAAAAATTCGAGACTACTTGTCGGGAAAAATAGCTGCAATCTGGAGGAAAAGTCGTGCAACTTTTTGCGACGAAGGTGTCGAAGAAAAATTGTACAGCGCAACTTCCGCCAACACACGCCAAGATTCTACCCCTACCACACACGTAGACCCTCTCCAGCTGTTGATTGTGGGAAGGCTGTGATCACCGATATCTCGACGGATACTTGATGAATTGTCTCATTCATGGTATCTGGGGACGAGGGATCTCATGGGCTGTTGGGCAATGCCAAGTTTTGGGGCCGTGAGGTGCCGAATGCGCCGGGCAAATAAAGGTTGTCATGTGCACGACCGCCAACGGTCGCGAGCGATTAGTTCAAGTGCGGTGTTTTTTTCCGACACGGGTTTGGTTATCCACCGATAACTTTCCGAAGGAGGAAGCAACAGCAATAGCAAGGCCACTCGGCGGGAGGTAGCTCTCTGCTCCATGTGTCATGCCCAAGGTTTGGTGCCGCGGGGTATCGTGCGCGTCGAGAAAAAAAAAATGATTGGCCCTAAAATACCCACGTGGGAGAGCGGTTGGTTCAAGTTCGCAGGGATTGTGTGCTCATGGCTTTGGTGTTCCAGCGACAATTTGTCGGAGGAGGAGGCAACAGCAACGGTAATGCACCCCGAGGGAGCTGGCTCTACCCAGCATCTTTCTGAAACCAGGTTAGGTGCCTTGGGGTATCGTGAGTGTGGTGCCTTGGGGTATCGCGAGTGTGGAGAAGAGGTTGCAACAACCCTCTCCCACATGCTCCCCCCTCCCCGGTGTTTGCCATCGGGGTTGGGTTTTCGTCGCTTGGCAACGACGTTGTAAAACAAGCCGCCCCCTCGGTGTTTACCATCGGGATTGGGCTTTCGTCGCTTGGCAACGACGTTGTAAAACAAGCCGACTCACTTCGTGAACTCGGCAAACAGGTTACCGGTTTTTTTACCTTTGTTTCTTTTTTGGCGGTACCATAATGGTGGTCGAGTAGATCATGTGCGGGATGGAGAACCCTCACTCCGCGCAAGGGGGATGATCGCACCACGTTGTGTTAAAATGGTCAAGCACTCTCGAGGCAGTTACACAGTGCTTACAACTGTCTCTGGAAGTGAAAGCACCAGAAAATAAATTAAGTCATACGCAGCTGTCATCCGTACGCAAGGAAGTAAGCACAAGATGCCGAACACCCTTAGCAGGATGCAGCGCACCCTTCATGCGACTCGCCGAATACCTCACGGCGCTTCGCGCTTGGTGATGTGAGAGCCTGGTCCGGTGAGAACCTGGTGTGCTCCGTCCCGGCAATGTAGGGATGCGAGGTCAATGGTCTAACGACTACGGCATGCACGACAATGAGAACACCCCACACACACACACACATACGCTCTGACCGTTCTTTTCGCGGTGCGATATGAAAGGCGTGTGCCTTCTCCGCGCCGTTGCTAAGATAAATAGATCATGCCTCCACATTCCGCCAGTCCCGCCATAATGGGCGTGCACCCAAAGTATTCCTGACAAGAGTTCCCGAGCAAAGTTGCAGAAAAGTTTGCGACAAACGTTGAACATTCTCCATCAATAAAAGCGGTGTAATGCTGTACCTGTAAAACGTCAATGATGCCCAGCCAGTAGATCTCTTTGGGGCCGCTGTCACTTTCCGAATCGATCCCACCATCTGGCCTGAACCGGATCGCGCCCGAATAGCCCGCCGATGGCTTGGTCGTCCCGGTTCCTACCGTCGACGCGCCGTCCCTGGGTCGCGGGAACATAAACGAAATGAGGATATCGTACCGAGATTAGATACATTACGTTCTCGGATAGAGGATTTTAGGAGTGGGATGGGTGGGGTTTCAAACGGTCACTGGCGCCAAAACAAATAACAACAACAACAACAACAACAACAACAACAACAACAACAACAACAACAACACCGGCGATTGGACACTCACCCGTCCGTGTCCGCAGCAGCCGCCCTGAACGCCTCGCCCCTCCGGGACGGTATCGGTTTCACCGCCGACTTGGGGCCATCGGACGCTTCGTCGGCAAACGTGAAGCTGGAAAAACGACAGCAAGACAGGGTTGAACAGAATAAAAAAAAATCAAAGAAATGGATAGGGGCGAAACAAACGACTTCACCGAAGGAAATAGGAGGGTGGGAGCAAGGCGAGGGGGTCAATAGCAGCCGTAATCAAACCATAAGACTAGTCAGCGTTGACTAGTCTAGTGGTTTGATTTCGGCTTGTATAGGTCGAAAGGTTACGAGAGTACAGTGAGCGTTGTAGTCTACTGTTGTTCATCACATGTTGTTAACGAAACACTGCAAAAGGAAACGAAAGAAAAACGCCGAAAGGTATGCACAGATGCAGATACGTGTCCAAATCTCACAACTCCGTGTAGCCGCGACGAACGGTTCGCTCCGGCCGCCGAGTGCTGTAGTGGACAGAGATGAACGTGTGGGGTCGAAATTACTACAGGAGAAGACTGGACGGAAAACTGAGGCTCGGTGTTGTTCGGATGTGTCTGAAGTGGTTCCTCGTCCCATCTACTCTGACGCCAATCTGCACACCCTCCGGTGCATAACGTGGCTAACCCGAAGCGCGTGGTGTGTGGGAAAATTGAGGAGGGTCCAGGCAAGGGGGGGCCCGGGACAGAACTGGGTGGAAAGTCTGTAGGACGTTGGGCGAAACAGCCGAATCCATCGACGGCGACAGGAGGGACGTGCGGGGTCCTACGTACCATGTGGAGTCTCGCGGCGGACGTGAGGAGGGGGTCATTGGTACTTGGGGGTGCTACGTGGGGCGGAGAGGTTCGCGGTCGTCTGAAATGCAAGAGGGAAGGGAAAGGTCTGCAGGTTGCATGCGGAAAAATGCGACAGCAAGCGGAAGACTGAAACGGGAACTGAACAGGGGGAGGGGGTGGTTGAACAAGCGTTGAAAGACCAAGTTAAAGAGGACATGACTGCAGCTGAGGAGAGCAGGACCGAGGTGGCAGAACGAGCAGGGAAACATGCGCCGTACCGGACGGAGAGGTGGAAGGAATACCAGTCAATACGTCCTCCTTCATTATTTTCTCGCTTAACCCCTGTCTTCCGCTGCCCCCTTCCAGATGTTACAGTGCAAACTATTTCGTGTGTTGTGCCCGCATGTGTACGTCCGACTAGCACGAGTGTCTGCATACGGCGGGGGGTGAGCCAGGCGGGCGAGAGCCGAAGATGAAATATCTCGGCACATATCCCGGCATAGCAGTACGGGGTAGGGATAGGAACATCTGAGAGCTAATCGGTGTGGAGGTGGAGGATACAGAGACGACATCTCCCGCGGTGCATACAAAAAAAAAAAACGTGACCGAGGGTGCAAGGATAGAAATATGCGTTTTTGTTGCTATCTTGACGGGTGATCGTTGATTCTGTTGTTCTTGCATCGCACTGCGTGCCGAGCGGGAGTGATGGGCTCTGGCAAAAAGATTTTCGTATTTCTCATGTTGCCCGAAACGCCACCACTTATGTTATGAGTAGCTGCTGTCGGACTGATGTCATCCCGTTCCCATTCGGATCATTTTCGCTCTCTACTATCATGCCGACGTTGACTTGTCGGACTCCTTTTGTTTCATTTCTTGCATTATTCGATGTGCACCCCTCTTCGGGTGTGACCACGGCGGTCATCCGCGTCAGTTCGATCAGCCCGTACGAAAAGTTGAAAGCAGTGGGCAGCTGGTCAGAGACCGAGACAGTATTAATGTTAGGGCATCAACACTACAGTAGTCCTCAGACCGGAAGAGAGACCAGACTCACAAGATGCAACGTACGAAGATAAGAAAATCCATCCGTAATATATCGTGCGAGAGACTGGAACCATACAAAAATAAGAGAAAAACAGCAAGACAGATCGTCGGTAGCTGTGATCTTGAGATACCGTTGGACCAGTCAACCGGAGTAGTAATGTATTGGTTTCGGTTGCGAAAAGCGTATGTCGTGGAATCGATTGCTGTCTGACGGTCTAAGGAAATGATTCCCTCTCGCCATGCATAATGGTATGCTACAAAGTATCTCACAACTCCGTGTAGCCACGTTGAATGGTTCTCTCCGGTGGGCGGGAGGCTTCGTGGACGGAGACGAACATGGAGTAGTCCATCACATTGACGTCGCGCAAGAACTCCGCATCCGACCGTACCACCTGCAGATGCGCCAAGTTCCGCGGTGCAGGCCGATACGTTTTAGTCAGAGGGGCGCGCGGGGCAGACGAGACCAGCAATGATAGCGACAAATGGGGATAAAAGACCATATTGAAGGCACTGCGCAGAACAGAGAGGGGCGTTGGTTTGAAACTACTCCCATTGCAAAACAACTTTGGTCAATACCTTCGACAATAGTAGTGTCGAGGTATCAACAGACACCCCGATCACCCAAATTGTCCCAGCCGTAGAGATCACCTTGAGGAAGGCGTCCCTCTGCGAGCCAAGCCGGAACTTGGTCTTTGCTTCTCTCAAGTTGTTGTCCTTCAAGACCTTCTCTCCCTCCTTTGCGGTCCGGTGGACTTTGGAGCCCTTGAGGTCGTACTTCTTGTGGATCTTCATCTGGGCAGTGCCGTCAATGCTGCAAACGAATCCGGATGAACAAGCGGGGAGTTAGGGGTGTGCGTTGCAAGAGCTGGAAGATCGTGTGGGTCTATCTATCTTCATCTAGGCAGTTCCCGTTAACGACGCAAAGAAAGGCGTGAAACAGAAAGAGGACGGGCGGCGGAGGGAAGAGGAAGTGGAGGGGGGCGCGTGTGATCATGTACCTCCATCAATGATGTCGATCCATGAAAACTAGCAAAACGAGATGAACGGAAGACGAAATAAGGCACACGGTGCGGCGCGAGAAGGGGCGGGAGGAAGGCATGTCTCGCGAGCGAGGAAAGGAGCGCTGCGCTGTGATGGGTGGTGTGGACTTCGACAAAAGGGTGACCGTATCACATCCCTTGTCCACGAGGGTCAAAAGGAAACAAAATGTACCAGTTAATGAGTGGTTCATGACCGTACAAGCGTACAGTAGTGGTGCCTGAATCATACAAGGTCGGTGAAGTCGCGCGACACGGGCAGGTGTTTCAAGCGCCTCTCACACTCTGAATAGAGTTAGGTGTTCGGCAGGAAGCTGGCAAAATCCGTTGGCACTCTATGCCGCCTTGTAACCTACACAGAGCGCTTCTCCTGGCGAGAAGCAATAAGTAGCACCATTTTATGGCGAAAGGGGCCCACACTCTTGCACCCAATAATCGGTTCGGAAACGAACAAAGAAAAACAGCGCGCTCGACTCAATGTCGATGCAGGACACTTTTGTTTCTTGTGTCTCCTCCTGGAGAGGTGTAACGAACGAAGAACACACGACGCACCACTTCATGACGATGAAGGGTATCTTCCTGTGCCCCTTCTTCACGAGGTACATGCCGCAGAACCGGATCAGCACCGAGTCAGGGTGGGTGCGGTGGTGCTCGTAGTACTGGGGCAGGATGCTCCGGAAGAACTTCGCCTCCGCTCGCTGCACCAGCAGCAGCAACATAGTAGCAGGTAGGCAGCAGCACCAATGGCAGCAACATAGTAGCAGGTAGGCAGCAGCACCAGTGGCAGCAACATATTAGCAGGTAGGCAGCAGCAGCACCAGTGGCAGCAACATAGTAGCAGGTAGGCAGCAGCACCAGTGGCAGCACCAGCACCAGGAGCAGTAGCGGCACAGCAACAGTAGTAAGAAGCCGCATCGGCAGCGTACCAGCAGCATAATAGCATATTTTGGGAGAAGGGGCGCCGATTTGTGAGCGTCCAAGTCCAGGCGCATTGGTTTCCTCTGGACAGCGTCAGAGCACAAGATTTTGAACATGCTCCTGATGCCATACTACTAGCGTCGTGTGGTTTGAGTTCTCCGGCGACTACGTACAACGGGTCGCCCGTGGAGTGGATTGGCTAACCTTCATGTTCTTGATGATGTACTTCTGATCGTGGGAGTAGAAGAAGAAGCTGCCAGACTTGGAGTTGGTGATGAGTTCCAAGTAGTCGTAGTCACCGGCGACGGAGTTCATGTACAATGCCTGGAGAAAAACGCCATTGGAAGGGAAAGCCGGGGGATCGGGGAGGAGAAGTTCACCATGGCGCCAAATAACATACATCATGGCGACAACATCGCGCATCATTGTAAAAAAACAGCCTCAAAGGTAGCAGCAACGACAACAGCAGCATCAGCAGCAACAGCGACATTACTAGGTGCAGCGGCAGGCCCACCTCATCGATGCCAAAGAGACCCCGCAGGTTCTTGAAGACCTTCGGCGCGTAGTCTCGGAACTTGAAGGTCCTGTTGAGCTTGTGGGAAGGCGTGGGCAGGCGCCCCCCCGCCCCCGCCGGAGGAAAGACGTACTTGTCTTGCTGAAAAAGCAGACACAGCAACGACACAGCAGCAGCATTGTTCTTCGACTCAAGATGAAACCGTGGGTGTGGTATTGCAGTGACGCCGTGGTTTGTCGGCTGGTGTCATTGCTGTAGCCGCTGTTGCTGCTGTCGTAAAAAATAGGACTTGTCGCCGTTGCTGTACTGTAGTAGCCTACCCAGCGACTGCTGTATTGTAGCGGCCTACCCAGCGACAACGCGGGTAGGAGTGGGTGTCTTCCAAGATGCGGGCACCCGCACATGCTCCTCGTACTCTCAGTGTACGGTGCGTTAAATTGCGTCGCCTCTGTTATTGCACCGAGTGTCGACCTCGTGAATGCCGTAGGCCACCGTCTCGATTATTGGAAGCAGGGACGAGTAGGTGTGCTGTGCAGGTATCGTTTCGGGTGAAGAACGCGTGCTCTGCGTTCGACTTCGTGAACCCAAAAAGTGTGCTTGTGTTGACCTTGTATTAGCCTTGCGTACACCTTGTCTTTCCGCTACGAGCATTCGGTTGTTGGCCGCCATTTGCCTATTTATCCATTTATTGGACTGGGACATGTGCCATTTGGCGCCACGCAAGCCTATCTCCAGTCTAAGCTGGATGAGGTTGTGCGTGGGGGCGTTCATGCAAGGGCGTGCGGGTATTGTTTGTGTACCCATTCCCTCTGCCGCGTACAGCCCGACTTGCCCTTGCTTGCCAACAGTCAACTCCTTCCCAGGTATCCTCCTTCCTTAGATTCACGAAAAAAAGCGCGCTCAACCCCCTCCCCACTGCTTCCCGGAAAAACGATCCTGTGCGTACCCCCCCCCTACACTTATCAACTGTGTCCCCGGAACCCCCCCCCCCCTCCAAGAACCACAGCGATGACAAACCCCACCTGCGTGTAGTCGTCCGCGGTAAGTCCCTCTGACGAGAAAGGGCTGGCTTGTCGCCCCACCGCCACCCGCACTCCGAGCATCATCCTGAAGGTTAGGTTGAGCTTTTCGTCGTCCGCTTTCTCGTCGGCCTTAACGTTCCGACCCTAAAAAAAAAAGAACAGCACAAAACAAAGAACAAAATAAAATCCTGATGTGTATGGGACAAGGCAAGCACCGCAGACGTAACGTGAAAAAAGAAAAACTCGTGGGCGTTCCTCCAGAGTGCGAGGTCAGTTGATGCTGTTGTAGTTGTTGCTGTTGTCGTCACATTACAAACCGTCCCGAACTCTTCACCCAATATCTTCATCTTTCCGTGCTAGTCGAACACTTGACGCCGTCCAGTCATGTGGGCACAGGCCACATTACCAAAAACAGGAATAATAAAAAATAAAATGGACCCGAATGGTCCGCAGGTCAATAGAAATCAAGAACAGGTAACCTTGAACCCTCCACTTGCCTCTACTCGCTGTTGATGAGTCCAAAAAACTACCCAAAAGTGTAAGGAATGACGTTATTCCAGATGAAATGGGAGCTTTGCATGTACACATTTGGCCGAAAAGAGACAGGCGGGCCACAGGCTCATCTCCAGAGCAACGACGAGAACAACGCCTTCTCAAAAGAAAACTCAAGACGAGTTTTGCCTGAGGGCTCACAGATACAACGCTCGCACGCTCGCTTCGGTATGCTGCACGAATCGACACGACAAACCACAGCCACAAAAACAAAAAAGAAGAACTGGTCACTCACGTACTTAAGGCGTCCCACACGCACTCTCGAGCGAGCCTCGTGAACTTGGATGTGCTCGAACGATTCGTCCTTGGGGCCGAGGCGAATGTCGTTCATGAACACGGGCTGGCAAAAGGAAAAGAAACGAACAGGGCAAGGAAGAAAGCGGATAAACAACGGGTAAGACTTGATGTAGACATTCGGGGTGTGCTATTTAGAACGATTCGTCCTTTGGGCCGAGACGAGCGTCGTTCAGGAACACGGGCTGGCAAAAGGAAAACAAAACAAAACACGCCAAAAAGACAACGGACAAACAACGCGAAGGACTTGATGAAGATATTCGGGATGTGCTAGAACAACTCGTCCTTGGGGCCGAGGCGAACGTCGTTCATGCACGCCGGCTGCAAAGAGAAAAGGAAAGAAGGACAACAGAAAACGGATAAACAACAGGAAAAACTGGATGTAGGCATTCTCAGAGAGTTCACAAACAATTGGTATATTTCCTGACGCTGGCACAGACTTCTTCGAAGGTTTGCGTAGGTAATGCTCGAACATTAAATCGTCCAGGTCCAGCGGAGAACTATGCCTGTACCACTATTGGCAACGTCTGCAAGAGGCGTTGTGCGTTGCCATTGTAATTGGGACAGCCAGGCAAGAGGTGAAGCGTGAATCCTTTTGGTGACAACCACTGCGCTTCGAAATACTACGGCGACCACACCAACCACGACCATAGCAACAGCAGCAGCAGCATCACCGACAACGACAACGATAGCAACAACACTAAAGAAAAATATCGATCAGGACAGCAATATCATGAGCGTCAACAACAATGCATGCACCTTCTCTTCGCCGAGCTTCTTTTTTGTTTGCTCCCGCAGAACGGCGATCTGAAAGGGAGAGAGAGAGCCAATCCAGACGAAAACAGACAAAAGCGCGCGGGCGAGCGTCAACACAAGAACAGAAGTCCGCAGCACATGGTAAGGGCTGGGCGGTGGCTCGCTGGTGTCAGCAAATCAGGACCCGCCGAGAGGAACGGGTGTCGATAACGCTGAGCGTGCGGCCCACTGCTGTCAAACCGCCCTGTGCCCAAACACCGAGTGGGGTACTGAAGCAATAAGTATGCACGATAGACTCCCCTGCCCCGCCCACTCTACACGGCGCTCGCTGCTCAGACCACGCCAAGAGGCAAAGAAAAAAATTCCCGTGCCTCGCGTGATGAGGCGTGGGGATAGGTAGCAGGTGGCGTGGCCATCCGGAACGACCCAGCATCGCCACCCAGCCACGCTAAGCGACGTGGGGCTGGGACCCGGCGTGCATCACAATTTCGTCCAACATGTACGGTACTGCAGACACGCAACAAAAGCCTTTCCGCTTGGTCACCTCCCGTCCGTAGGGCTCGGATCTTCCTTTCCTAATCTCGCGAGCTCCCGGCCTGGCAGTGGCGTTGTCATGCTCGAAGGAGACTTGGTGGGAGGGCGTGGCTGGTATCGTGCCAGTTGTTGTTGCTCGACGTATTCCAGGGCCCCCCGCCGCCGCAGCCGCGCCAGCAGGGGCAGCAGCCACAAGGGCGGTGGTGGAGGCGGCTGGTGTCTCCATCTGGAACCACTCACGACTCCTGTGTGGTCGGGTTTGCAGGCAAGCGCAGGGAACGGAGGTGGGCGCCAAGAGTCGAAGCACACAACGACAACAAGAGGGAGTGGGGCATGGGATTCACAAATATCTCACAACAAATGTGTTGGGAGGTTGTGGAGAAACGTATACATAGCGAGGTTGTTGCATCACACGGGTGTGCTGCCTTGTGCAGCATAATACGGCAAGGCGAGTCCACCACACACTACCGCAGCCTCTCCTCAGCCGGTCGTAGCAACCCAAGGCTGGGTGACTAAATACACATATACGCTCACCCCCGCTGTTGAAACACTCAACGCTGCTGCTGTGCAAGATCGATGGCCAGCGACACCGGAAACGTGAGCATGACCGCACGAGTGAAGAAGGCTCTACTTGACCTCATGCTGCACAACCCCTACCGAATCTCCACCGAAATCATTTGTCCAACCCTACTCGCAACCCGTGTTTCCTGACACATGCAGCTGCGCAGCACGGGGCTCCTATTCTCACAGCAGCGTCCCACAGAAGTCCCCGGCAGTATCAAGCGTCTGTATATACCGCGATCGTTTATGTTCTAACGTCTACACAATAATATTCCGCGATCTTATCTGTGATAATGGCGACAACCTGGCAGAATGCGTGAGCTATGTCACTACGGAGGCTTCATTAAGCGGAGAAGGGCTGCCAAACAACAAAAGGAAAGGGCAATCGGTCATTTTCGATCGTCCCCAGTCACTGCCGGGTTCCGTGGAGAGTGTTCGCTCTAAAACCCCAATAGACCGGTGACAACGCACTATAATAAAACAAAGGGGTTCCGAGGAATGTTCTTGGAAAAGCAGTCGCCCTAACAAAAATGCGATTCACAGCCAACCAGGCCCCCTCGCCCCCTCCATCGCCCACCCAACAAGCGGCGCGATACGCACAGCCATGCATACGGGGGGAAGCTTTGCTATTTGTTGAGTTTGCTTCAGCCAGCGGAGAGGGATCCCCGAAAAGCACGAACCGGTGATGGTTTTTCGCAATTCAGCACGTGGAATTTTCGAAATTTCAAACGGCCATCCTACTGTCTTTTTGTTGTGTTTTTCCTCTGGTAGACAGCGTAACACCAAATCGACTACTCGACTGCTCATCATGAGACGCGCGCTGAAGAAGCAATGTGTTGGTTTCGTCGGAGCCGAAAAGGACACGTTTCCTAAAGATATCTCTCCGGACGGCAAGGCCCAAAAAAAATGGTACACAGCAAACGGCGTTGCCGTTGTTCATCGATCATACAGCAGTGTGGACATGCACCAGCAACAGGGACTGGAGGCGCAAAATAGTATACTGTGGGCGCTTCACTCAACTCCTGACACAGGCTGCGAGGCCGAACAGGTAAGTATGATAACAACGTGTGCTGCTGTATGAAGAAACCTGTTTGGCTTCTGTGACAGACGCGACGCTTATATGCGCTGCACACCGGTATCCTCGGAGTAACACAAAGTCCGAGCAGTGGCCTCTCCCTGGCCCGACTTCATGCCGAGCGCAGCGGCCACTCCTGAGCCCCTGACGTGCTCGCTCTGTCTCTCTACTGCCTCTTATCACTCTCTTGTGCACACCCGCCCGGCATTACATCCCTACACCTGACCTTTTTCTGGCCGCCTTTCCGCCTTCTTTCTTGCTGTCGGAGCTTTGGAGCGTGCCAAGTCTCACACCGCCGTCGGAACGAAACCAGGACCCAGCACACCGAGCAAGCACGGAGCGACAGCGTAGTGCAACGACCGAACCACAGCGAGGGGAAGGGAGTCTGCTACTAGTCGGCTTCTAGGGAAGTACTTCTTGACAACAACTGCTTGTGCCGCCGTCAGAGCAGAGCGGCGCGCGCAACACGCAGGCGAAAGGGTTCTGATTGCTTTTGGTTCGGTTCCCTTTTCAATCTGAAGAGAGATTTTGACCGTTGAGACCTTTCCTCTTCCTCCGAGCCTCTTCGCGTTCCGGCCCAATGTGATAGGTACTTGGTACTCGGGTTCTCTGCTGATGACCCGATCAACCAATCCAATGCAGAGCGATGTGGCTCTGCACTAGCGGTTCTTGTGCCAGGTTCGAGGTTCTTGTCAGTGGGTTGCTCTATGCCTCGGGCGGTTGTCGCCGAGGATGATAGATCAGACTCAGAGACCGAGGATGGTGAATGATGCTTTGAAGAGGAAACTTCGTCGTTAATTCTGCTCGCTGCTGCACTCAACTCAAGCCGATCAACACTGCTGCTGCTCAACCGAACTCCTGCACTCACTTGCTGGAACCAACCACCGCTTCGAACTCTGTCAACGCACTGGTGACCGGACACTCAAGCTCGCCTTCTGCTCCTTGTCCTGGTAGACTCCCTCTCCTGAACTCATGAGCGTCAGCGATGCTGGTGCTGCAAAACATCCTTCACGTACGTCCACAGAAACATGCCAATACCGCCGTAAGGCGGGGACAAAACCCGAACATCCATTGAAACGAGCCTACTTCGTACCACATTCCCCCACACTGCTTTTTGACATAGTGGAAAATTTTAACCCATGTCCAAAAGTAATCCACAACGTCATGATTTCCTTCGAGAGAAATTGGCACTAAATAAGTACTTTTTCCAAACTGAATCTGGTATATTCTCGCTCGCGGCCGCCCTTATTTGGCGACAAAATGTCCAACACATATCCTTCTCGAAAATGGCAACACATCAGTACTCAAAAAGCGAATTCGGTCTATCCTCAGCAGGGACCCGATTTTGACTCCACGAGGGCAAGTATTCGTCAACCCTCCAGGCCCGAGGACCGCGACACAAACCACCACACAACACTTGATCGACTTCATAAGTCGCGAGGGAAGGGATTGCTGTACCCTTCTCGCGATGAAATATCTCAGGCAGGAACCGCAGGAGGGGGTCCAGCCCCCCCCCCTCTTTTGTGACCCCGGTTGGGTCGTCTAGCTGGTAGAAGTGGAGGATAGGGGCCAGAGGGGCAGACGACAGAGTCCAATGATGGGAGGAAAAAAACAACAAAAAAAAACACACANTATCTCAGGCAGGAACCGCAGGAGGGGGTCCAGCCCCCCCCCCTCTTTTGTGACCCCGGTTGGGTCGTCTAGCTGGTAGAAGTGGAGGATAGGGGCCAGAGGGGCAGACGACAGAGTCCAATGATGGGAGGAAAAAAACAACAAAAAAAAACACACACACACACAAATTCCAAGAAATTTTTCATCAAACCATCTGCCGTCAAGAAACCCACTTTGCCCCGAGCCGCGCTACCGTGTTTTGGAAACGACACCCAGCACCAGCTCCAAAAACTTTACCTGACTTGCTAATACCCGATCGCTACGAATGTTACTGAACGAAAGCATATTTGTTCCCGGCACGAACGACGCCGTACTCACCCCAAAGAAAGGCTGCAACGAACCCCTGTGACCCCCTCAATCGGACATTTGACTGTTGAAATTGGCGCTACCCGATGGTGCACGCCGACCCCCAAAAGGACTCCCAACAACTAAATCAATCGCTTCACGTTGTTTTGTAAGTCACACCCCAGCTTTATGAAGCTTTGAAATCCACCCGAGACAATACATCAACGACCCTTTGACCAACTTTCTCCCCACGCGTGTCTGATATAGGCGCACTCTCCCAACGCAAGGCTGTGTGGAGAACACCTTCATAAAGGTTGAAACTCCCCAATTGTCCGCCGACAACGTCTCTCAAAGCACAATCGATCACCGTGCAATCAGACACCTCCCA